CACACACACACACACACACACACACACACACACACACAAATCAACTAAATTCTTTTATTTTGAACTCTATATAAGAATCCTTACTTTTTTCAAGGTTTCCACAAAGATATATTGCACACCACAACTTTTTCAACAATGAAAATGTTAAGAAATGTTTCTTTGCGCACCGAATCAGCATATTAGAATGATTTCTAAAGGATCAAGTGACATTGAAGACTGTAGTAATGCTGCTGAAAATCCTGAGAATCACAGGAATAAATTAAATTTTTTAAATTAGAAAAAATAGAAAATACAATTTTAAATTGTAATAATATCAATGTTATAATAATACTGTAATGACATTCACAATAAACCTGTTTTTTGATCAAATAAATGCAGCCTTTAAGAACATAATAGACTTATTTCAGTAACATTTTAGAAATCTCACTGACCCCCAACAAAAGTAAAGCACAATCGTTTTAATTTGAAAAATAAATAAATAAATAAACAAGGTTCATGTCACCCAGAATGCTTGCGTATAAAAACAATATACGATAGACAGATCAATTATTATAAACTAAAATATCAAAATAAAATAAAAATGGCTCAAGGGTTCACTTGTCATTTTTCTAGTTTAATAACGTACAGTATTGTGTGAGGATCTGAACCTATAGGTCACCTTGCACACTATACAAAAAATAAATAAATAAAATATAGTCTCTAGACTAACACATCCCACACAAATACAAAAAGTTTTCATGTCTTATCTTGCCTAGAGCAAAAGTGAGTCTGAAGTACCCCTGGCGCCCTCTGAAAACAAATAGGTGCATGATGCTGCTGCACACAGGTGGCTAGCTGTAGCTCTCACAGCTGCATCTGAAACCAGGTCACAGTGTATGTGAGACAGAGAGGAGGCAGACAAGATGGCCGTCAGACACCGACATTAAAAGAGGGAGGAAGACCAGAGGGAAGCGCGACAGTGAGGGGTCTGGCCACAGTGCTGTTATATTGGGACGAGGGTGCAAGGAGCAGTGTTAGGACATAACACTAACCCACTAACATCCAGAGAACAGGAGTGAGACAGAGTCCAGGAGGTGATGTGAAGGGAAGGAGAGGATGAGCGGAAGACGGAGGGAACGGGGGAGCGAGTAAAAGGTTGAAGGTCTAATTATGTAAAATGTAGGTTATTAGTCTCCTGATGGGGACACTGTGAGAAAATTAATTAACAATTATAATTAGCAAGATTGTTAGAGAGCAAAACGGTGTCATTGGACAGGTATGTGTATGGAGACTTATGGGTGTGTGTGTCGCTGTCATTGAGAGGGGGGGTGTGTAGGTCAGCATGTTTTATATCTTAATTTCAGATAGAGGCACATGCTGCAGCAATGATTTCAGAGCTTCAGTGTCTAATGTATGCAGTGATAAATCAATGCCAGCTTCATGTCTCTGGTCATGCTGTAATAGCATCATAATGCAGAATATAGATTGGCTTTACAAAGTGAAGGGCCTGTGCACTTATCTATAGTCATCTATATTGTTATGTGGAGAGGAGAAATTGTTGCAGGGAAAGTTCACCCTAAAATGAAAATTCACTTATTTATTGATCCTCATGTCGTACAAAACCTGTGTGACCTTCTAAATCTGCGGAATACAAAATAAGTATTTTGAGAAATTGTACTGATCACTCTTTTCCATGCATTTACAATGAACGCACCAACAGAGTATCATAGTATCATAAAAGAGAGCCATATAACTAATTTCCTTTATTCCAAATCATCTAAAAACAATATAATAAGCTTTGTGTGTGGAACAGTCCAAAACTTTAGACCGAAAGATTTGTTCTAGTGCAACTTAGTGCATTATATGAACAAATCTTTCTTGAGTTAGATATTGTCAATGAATCAGTTCCAGTTCACAAAAGCAGCCTGAATGATTCATTCACGGATCACACTGATTAATCTCACTGGGGATCACAGCAGTTAACTATGAAAGCTTGTTTCTGCCAAAGAATAAATGTGACCCTGGACCACAAAACCAGTCATAAGGGTCAATTTTGTGAAATTGAGATTTATACATCATCTGAAAGCTGAACAAATAAGCTTTCCATTGATGTATGGTTTGATAGGATAGGACAAACTATTTGGCTGAGATACAACTATTTGAAAATCTGAGAGTGCAAAAAATCAAAATATTGAGAAAATCGCCTTTAAAGTTGTCCAAATTAAGTTCTTAGCGATGCATATTACTAATCAAAAATTAAGTTTTAATATATTTACAGTAGGAAATTTACAAAATATCTTCATAGAACATGATCTTTACTTAATATCCTAATAATTTTTGTCATCAAAGAAAAATCAATAATTCTGACCCATACAATGTATTTTTGGCTATTGCTACAAATATACCCCAGCGACTTAAGACATTTTTTCTAAGAAATTGCAAGAAAAAAGTCAGAAATGTGAGATACAATCTAAGTAAGAATTTATCAAGTGCCCGAAACAAGCTTCCATATAACAGCTTATTGGAGGAGAATATTATCAGTGAATAAGTTACAGTATGTTCCTCAAACAATGCTTGCATATTAATTCAGAAAACTGTGAATATAGTGCACAAGCTCAAGTGATACTTCTATGATGTGTCCTTCTTTAAGCTTGAAGAAACCATCATAGAAGTTATAATGGTTTCCACTACCAATACCATTACAAACCTTACAAACCATCAACTGCTAACCATTAAAATCATTATCTAATTGTTTCCAGTAGCACTGTCGCCAAGTTTGTGGTTTTTAAGTGGAATTGGGCTACTTGTTTTTTTTCTTCATGCGATTTAAAGTTTGACATATTGCATAAATTGAAATTCCCTAGAATGTGTGTATTAAAATATTTTACATTCTACTAATAATAAAACACATTACACATACTGTTTATGATTTCTACTAGTCATTTTCAAATTGAAATTGTGTACAATGCATAACAGCAACTACAGTATAAAATATGTATTTTATGTATGGGAATGGCATATGTTGAGTTTTAATATTTGGATAGGGTCTTGGGCTTGTTTTGGGCTATTTTTGATTGGCCCTTGGGCTGGTTTTTGTTACACAGATCTGGCAACTGTCCAGTGGTGTGTTTTGGGCCATATTCCATTAGGATTTAGTAGTTTTAGCATGCCATAAATAGAAGGCAACAAATTATCTCTAGAGACCCACAGGAATGATTACAGTTTCTATTAAAACCAATACGATTCCCATTATAACCATTTAAACCATTACAAATTCTTTGAGGGTTTCTATTGATTTTTTTCCAGCAGGGAGCCCCAGTCCCTTTTTATTGCAGTTGCAGAGAAAAAAAAGTGAATTTTTTTTGTGTGTGTGTGTGTGTGTTCTACACAAGACTGATTTGGAAGGACATGAGGGTGAGTAAATGATGACAGAATTTTCATTTTTGGGTGGGTTAATTCTAAAAGATTCATTGCATTACTGGGTTTCTGTAGTGTAACAAGACATCTATAAAAATGAAGAATAAAAGGACAAACTACACTCTAAAAAATGCTGGGTTGTTTCAACCCAATGTTGGGTCAAATATGGACTAACCCAACTGTTGGGTTAAAAAGCTAATTTAAAAATGTAACCAAAATTTAACCCAACAGTTGGGTTAGTCCATATTTGACCCAACATTGGGTTGAAACAACCCAGCATTTTTTTAGAGTGTAGTCAACAAATGATTTGTGCAGACAAAATGAAAAGGTGATGGGAAAAGAGGACAAAACCATTTTCACCTCTAAACACGTGAAGAGCATATCTGTTGGTTTGCAGTGCCAAAGTATGGCAGGCTTTCAGTATCATGTTCCAAATGTGGCCATGAGGCAAATCACAGATATGCATCATGTTTAGCCTTTTCACACCTGTCATCTTTAAAGGGGAGCTTTTTTTATCATCACCTTGCTAGAACAAACATCCAAACAATGTCGCATAATAAGAAAAACACAAAACTTCTAATGGATTTCTCCCCTGAGAGGCGTTTATACTGTAGACAATCACAGAAACAGCCCTCTTACTAATTATGCATTTTTTCTTTGCCATCAAAAATAGCTGCAAACAAATACAGATTTGAGTTTAAAGATTTCACAATTTTTTTTTATTTTTGATGGGCAAAAACCTGTATATATATCAAACATGTTCAATATTTTGTGCTGTTATTTTTTTTAAACATTGTTTTAATTTATCATGCATCTCCTAGCAACAATGCACATTTCAACATTCTGCATTGTTGTTTTTGGAATGATCGAAAAGTCTGTGTGTGATAATCAATCGTGTAGTGTGTGGTGTCCAGTTTTTCCCCTGTAAATTACTCCGTAAAGACAAAAAATGTTTTTATAACTACTGTATCAAAAAATCTGTTTGAAAATCTGTTCAGTTATTAAAAATTCTGTAGTGTTTTCACTATTTCCTTTTAACATAGTCCGCTTTAAGAAGTGAATTAAAATGACTATGCAAATTTATACACTGAGTGTGTTGAAAAAACTGTAAATGGCATCTTCTGGCGAGATGCAGGAATTCCTTCTGTGCGACCCACACAGTGCATATATTCTGACAGCTGTTGAATACAGTACATGGGTTGCACACTTGTTACTAAGTTGCATTATGGGATTGAATGAGTGCACTTGATAATGTTCATTATGGTTTTTGACACCACTACAAATGGCTGTTCCTTCAATAGTGCACTAAATAAAGTTATAGGAAGTGATTTCAAACACAGCAAGTGTTTTCTGAACAAATCGGTTGAGTGAATAATTCAATGAATCACTTATAAATTCAGCTTAATAATAGCAGATTTCTCTTATATTGTGTTCAATTCACACACACACACACTTCGTTGTTTCATTTAGGTAGAATACAGCCGAAATTACAAGAGCAGCGGTCATGCTGTGAACACAGGGAGGAATATTTCACAGCGCCTGTTTTACAATGCCCCACTCCTGCTCGTAAAAATGAACTATGGCAATGCTGAGTGGAAATGCATTACCGTCATAAAGCACTCTACCACGCCCGCAGTACTCTGGGAACACACCTCTCTCACATAGAACAAGAGAGAGAGACTGTTTTGTTGCTGATTAGTTGCTAAAAAGCAAAGGGGCTGTGATAAAATGGAACAAAGGCAATAGTCACTGACTATCTGGAGGCTTGTTAGGGATGGAGCGAAGGTAGTTCAGAGTTGGAGACATCCACAACTCAGACACCTTTAGAAAAGCCATAAAAATCCTTCATGACCTCTTTGGGGGCCATAATTGTGTTAAAATGACTGTCACACATAGAAAAATTGCACATACAGATATGTGTTAGAGATGCTGTCACAGCGCATTTCAACAGTAAAATACCCAGTACACAAAACCAGCATAACTTAATTCATCAGTGTGGATCATTATAAAATAACCCTCACATATTCACATTTTTATTTGCCAATATTTTTTTTTGCTGACTGAGCTTTTTAAATTCTGACTGCATAATACTCCTATAAGCCCCAGCATTTCAGAACTAATTTCTTCCTTTTCATTTGCTGATAACGTTTGAGGCAGTTTAAATCCAGAGAGCATTGATAACACAGGCACTTTTGCTTCAGGCACAAATGCAGTGTTAAACTAACCTGAAACACGGCAGCCTATTTTCTGAAAAAGCACTGCATTCATTAAATCATCAGTGAGTCACTGACACCTCCTGTGTGACTTTTGACAGATATGGGGATGATGAGGCTGTCTAAATGAGTCTGAGGAATGGCAGGAGGATATTAATAGCTTCCTTTTTACAGGATTTTCCTTAAAGCTTTTGCTGGCTTTCTGTAGTGATTCTCATCTGAAAGGTTTTCATGAATGTGCAGATTCAAATCTGAGAAGTTCATTTATACACTTGATTTGATGCGTGCACCTGTACGCTTTTCTTGGAAACAGATTAAATGGGCCATATTTTAGATTTTTGTAGTATTTCATTTATTTTTTCTCCCTGAGTTCCACTAGTCAAGGTTTCTTACACTAAAAGCAGTCATTATGTAGTTTTACACCATTTTTCATCCTTTTAGTATTATAATTGGGTAGCCTATTTTTGTTGCTATACCTTTAACACTTTAATATGTAAATTACTTATGATTGGTTTACCTACATGTACTAACCAGACATGTTTCCTCCAAGCAGACAAGGGAGGCAGTGCCACCTCAAAATGTTGGTTGAGAAAAAAATTGTAGTACAAAAATAAAACAACGCAAATATTACAAAATATAGCTTAAAAAGTATATAAATACACTCGTATTTAGTGTATAAATGTATAAATACACTTGTTTTTCTAAAGAAACACTGTCCAACAGCAACACCAGCAGGTAAAGTTACAGCGGGAGTCTGCCTCTCTCTTGCCTCCACTGAGCCCATTGAGTTTTAACAGCATGCAGTGATTTTGGTGTGGGGTAATTGAGAACGAATGGGGGAAAGTCATGGGAGAGGAGGCAATGCATCCATCTCGATATGACTGGACATGACTGGTTATGTTCGGCTGTGATTAGTTACACTCGTGTAGTGTGCCATAGTGCAAGACAACCGATGCATGCCATTTCTGTGACGCTTCACGACGTCAACACAGAAAGTCTATTTATTTTTCTGTCGTCCATGACAAGTTCCGTTACAGCTATGACACAAGCCAATAGGAACACAGAAGTGCCTTCGTACACGCTTTCAAACATGCCGAAATGAAAGAGAGACCACGGTATTGGTCCTGCTAGGTGTCATTTTACAATGGAGGATGCTCGTGGAGCTATGGCAATACTCCTGCATTTATGATGTTTTCTTGAGGGATTACCGCAACAGAGTGAAAAAGGTCAGTTAAAAACTATTTTACCTCAGTTCTCTTTGACAGTCCTCTTCATTCAGTCCAGAATTGTGTCTACTGTCAGGTTTTCTTTCTTTTTGGGCTTTTCTGAGATAAGACAGGGCAGAACATGCTGTTTGCTAGCCATTGTTTGTTTACGCTCATGTCACCACCTGTCTAGTCCCGCACAATTGATGACAGCATGCACATCGTTAAAGACGACAAGCGAAGAATGTTGAAGAATGAAGAATCGTGTAGTCTGACATGTTTCTTGTTCACGACATGACAAGATTTTAGGAGACAAAATTGTGTAATCTGACACAGTGACTGTCATAACGGACAAAAAAATTTTGTAGTCTGAATGGGGCTTTAGATATATAACCACTTTGTTCAATTAAAATAAGACTTGAAATGGCCTGAAAACATGATCTGTAGGAGTTTTTAGTGAGTAATCAGCTTGGTGAAATTTAAAGTAAACCTCTTTTTCTCCGAAAAATTAAAAAAATAAACAGTTGCTGAACAGTTCACAAATAAATTTTTTTTTTAAATTGTTACTGCCTTGAGATATTATTTTGTAATACATTTCAAATGCTTAAACAAACTTAAATATGAAAACACTAACTGTCAGACTTTGTTCCGTGTTTTGCTTCCCATGTGCCTTTCTTGCCCATATTTGGTTATCTTCCGTTTCCTGTCCCCATTGTGTTGAATGAATTCCAGGTGTTCCCCGTTTATTTCCATTGATCCCAGGTGTGTCTCATCATCCCCTCGTCTTGTCATGTGTTTAAATAGTGTTCCCTGTTTTTAGTTCAGCGTCCGGTATGGTTCCTGTCTACCTGTGCTTTGTGAGTTTTCCTTATTGTAATTAAACTTCTCTGGATTGATGTACTCCTCGTCTCCCTCTGTTCCTTGCTTCATACTCCACTCAGTAATGCAACCGTGACAGAATACCGGACCAAAAAGAGATGACTGCAGCTGAGGACACGCTGTGGGATTTGCGGCAGCGCGGTCTGAGGTTGGAGCGATATGTGGAGGGTTTTCTCGAGCTCTCTAACCGGGTGAGCTGGCACGACGCCGCTCTAGGTGCGTGCTTCCTGCTGGGGTTGGATGACAAGATAATCCGCTGCGATCGTCTTGCGTGTTTTTTTTTTTTTT